GTGCAGGAACCTGGAGCCACAAGTGTGTCATTTGCTGATGCTTTTTGAATTACAATTAATATCTATTTATTAGTTTAGCTATAAATATTGCTCAAGTTGTTTGTGAAATATTTGCTTATATTTTATAGACTCAGTTGTTTCCACATTTAAGTGCTTTGATTAGTTTTATATGAAAATAAAACTTAGAGTGATGGTATTACATGAAAATTTTTTCTCATTCATTTTATAATTTTTAATAATATTATTATTTATTATGTCATCCGATTCAACTCCGGATCGACCAATCCACTGTGAACCTCTTCTTCTTCCGATTTACTATTCGGTTTGATTTTTAAAACCTTGTTTATGCTAGTTTGAGAAATGATGTGCCTTATACACTGATCAATATTTTGTTTTATTTAATTATATGTACACTATACAACAACAACATCAAGATTTTATCCCACTATGTGGGGTCGGCTACATGAATCATTTTTCTCTATTATGTCCTATTAAAAGTCAAATTCTCATTTAAATCTAATAAAAAAAAGATAATTTCTAATATTTTCTAACCAAGTTTTTTTAGGTCTATCTCTACATTTCTAACCAAGTTTTTTTAGGTCTATCTCTACATTTCTAACCAAGTTTTTTTAGGTCTACCTCTACCTTTCTTAACCTAAGTCAAATCTAATACCTCTACTTTCCTAACCGGGTCATTGGAAGGCCATCATTTTATGTGACCAAACCATCTAAGGTGACTCTCTTTAATCTTATCTTCCATTATTGCTACTCCAACCTTTTAACGTATATACTCATTTTGTATCCTATATCTAAGGGTAAAGCCACTCATCCACATGAGAATATTCATCTATGCAACACTCAACTTAGTATTATGCTTCTCTTTTAATGGCTAACATTCAACACCATAAATCATTGCAGGTCTCACCACCATCTTATAGAATTTTCCCTTAAGTTTGAGGGGGAGTTTCCTATCACAAAAAAAGTCTGATGCATTCCTCCACTTCAACCATCCAACTTGAATTCTGCTGATAATATCCACATCTATTTCACCATCACTTTAAACAATATATCCAAGATATCTACAATGTGTACTCTTATTAATGACTTGATCGCCCAAAGTTTCAATCCCATCACTAGGTCTATTACTACTAAAATTATACTATATATATTCAATTTTAGATCTACTCAAGCGAAAACCTTTCGACTCTAAGGTTGACCTCCATAATTCAAGCTTACCTTCAACTCCCTCTCTAGTCTTATCAACAAGAAGAATATCATTAGCAAAAAGCATACACCAAGGTATATCCTCTTGCAAATGTCTAGTGAGAGCATCCTTGACTAAAGTAAAAAGATATGGACTTAAGGCTGTCCTCGATACGATCCAACCGAAATATGAAAATACTTTATCAAACCTCTTTGTGTTTGAACATAAGTAAAAGCTCCTACATATCTATCATTAATGATTTGAATATAAGCTTTATTAACTCCTTTTTAAGAACTCTCCATAACTGTTCTCTTGGAACTTTATCATATGTTTTCTCTAAATCAATAAATATCATATATATTTCCTCCTTATTCTCTCTAAATTTCTTCATCAAACCTCTCAATAAATGTATGTCTTTCATAGTATACCTACCCGACATGAATCCAAATTGATTTTAAGAAACATTAGTATCACACCGCAACCTAGACTCCATAACTCGCTCTCATAGTGTTAAAGTATTACACATTAACTTAATTCCTCTATAATTCGCACAATCTTGTGCATCAAATTTATTCTTAAAAATAGAAATTAACACACACATTCTCCACTCATCTGACATCTTTTTAGTCTTCAAAACAATATTAATAAATTGTAAGCTAAGAAATTCCTTCATCTCCTAAGCATTTACATATCTCTATTGGAATATCATTAGATCCAACTGCTTTTTCACGCTTTATTTTCTTTAAAGACTCTAACTTCGATTTTTCTAATATGTCGATAAAAATGAAATTCGTTATTTTCATTTAGGGTGCTAAGGTCACTAAAATTCAATCATATTTTCATATTCTTCATTAAAAAGCTATGTACACTATCAATATATATTAAATTGCCTTATCTAAGATGATTTCATATATTTCATAATTATTAATATGTATTCCAAATTATTGACTGCTTATAGGATAATGATAAATCATATTAATAAAAATTTTCAAGCATCATATCAATAAAAGCCCTAAAGTTAACATGAACATGCTTAATCTTTATTATTTCTTAAAACATTAAGTTTTATTTGATAGTGTTCTTTAAAAAAATATTAATTTACAATATTATTAAAGAAATGGATCCAAAATGTAAATTTCCCAAAACACGGCGCGCATCACAATATCCGAGGCGATTATCCAGCCGGTCCGCGCCGATCGGAACCGAGTCAGCCGAGATATTTTCATTTTTTATTTCATTTTATTTTTATCTACCGCGTTTTTTTATTTTTTTGTTTTTTATTTTATTTTACTGGTTCTTCTTCGCCACAATAACTCCACCAGCAACAAAGCAGATCCTCCTCTCTAGGGCACTCTTCGCGCATCACTTTGCCCGTTAACACTATAGAAAAGTAGCGCACTTTCTTCTTCTCGTCCTCGCTTTCCTTATCCCGTCCTGCTCATCGTCAAAACGCGCTCCTTTTTTGTCTCTGAATCTTTTTCCATCCAATCTCCGATCTTCAGCCGCAATGCACACCGTCCGCATCCAGAAGGGGCAATCCGATCTGTTTTAAAGCGTAGTTATTGTGCTCAAGATAATGGAGGAACGGCGGAGATTTGTTTGGTCTGTGCTGATGGTGTTGTTGTTGGCTATGATAGCTTGGGGGGCGGTGGAAGGTGATGCGGTACCTGCGGTGGAAGGTAGGAAACGTAACGCGTATGCTGCGATGATGTACATGGGGACGCCGAGGGACTACGAGTTCTATGTGGCGACCAGGGTGATGATGAGATCACTTGTGAAGCTTAAGGTCGATGCCGATCTTGTCGTCATTGCTTCTGTTGATGTCCCAATCGAATGGGTTCAGACTCTGTATGTATACGATCTTTCTCTTCTTTTTCTTGATTTATTCATTGAGGTGTTTCATTGATTCAGTTGAGGATTATTCCTCTTTAAGCGTGAAAGAAATTAGGCTTCAACTTCGCATTTAAAGCCGGAGGAATTGAGACTTTTCGGAATTTTATTTTGTAATTTAACTGGGAAATCTGACCTTATGTGGTTGGGATCGTAGGGATGAGCCTGCTGGTTCGAGCTGGATGGTAACTGATCAATTGGGTAATTCTTGTTTTGTTTTTCTTATGGATTATTGAGATTTTGGGAGTTATTTTCAACGAAGATGACGAATCTTTTCCTGAAGTAGTTTTGCGACCTTTTAAAGAAACCTAAGATTTCTCTTACTTCGACAATCTTGTTTCCCCTTAGACTTTTTTTTTCAGAATTTTTTTATTTATTTATGCGGTAAGTTATTTTCTTGATGTTCGTTTTTTTTTTAATTTCTGCATCTTTGATGGATCCCCCGCGAAGCTTAAGCCCGATGAAAACCTTTTCGTCATTACTAACGTAGATGTACTGATTTTATGGTCCCGGTGTTCGGATTCTCTTCGCTGCATATCGCTTTCTTCTTCCTCGATCAGCCAACAAGGGTTAGTTTAGGATTTTTTTTTCTTCTTTAAGCTAGAATTCGGATTTTATTTTGCTTTTGGTTTTTTAAAAAAAGTGGAAATATTGGCTGAGGTCTGATCTAACGGTTGATATTGTGCGGGCAAGCCGGCCGGTTGGAGCTGAATGGTTGTTGATCAATTTGTCTTCTTCCCGTTTTCTTTTTTCCGGGTGTATTATCGAGATTTAGATTTTAGGGAGTTTTTTTCCAAGGAAGACGACGAATCTTTTACTGGAGTAGTTTCAGATGATTTTGTGGTTCTGTTAGCTGTTCATTTTTTCCGTCGTTTTTGTTTGTTTATCCTGTAATTTGACTCTCCCAAAAAAAAAAAAAAAAAAAAAAAAAAGAATTCTCCCAGTAATTTGACTGGAAAGTTCGCTTTGATGATTTTTTATTGCTTCCCGTTTCTAAAGAGTTTTACTTGAGAACCCTTCCCATTATGGGAAGGGAAAATGCTTTTGAGATTTTTTTTTTCCCCTATAGCAGATTTCATTTTTTTCACATGATTTTTTTCCTTTTTTAGACCAGCAGAAGCAGCTTCTTGCATGTTAGCCTTTTTTACTGCCCACTCCTGGGAATATTTGAAATATCTCAGTAAAAAAACTATGATATCCAACAAGGTTCTTAAAGAAAAAATTTTGATGATATATATATATTTTTTTGTAACCTATGCCATTTTTGTTTTTGCCAGCTTAAAGCTGTATATTCCACGCCTGAACTCATATTAGGATTATACTGCTGTAGCTTTTAACTAGCCAGGCTTATGAGAGACATGGATGCACGTTTCGTTGTTCTTATGCTGCTTGGCATGGAGGCCAACGAGATAAAATTAATCAGCAAGTGGCCATTCATTTATGTTTTATTGTATCAGAATGTTAGGTTGTCAACCGAATGAACCATACGTTTTTTATTTGTTTTGAATGAAAATAAAATCTAGAGTAGCAAGGCATGGCCTGGTCTACATCAAAGAGTTAAACTTGATTGTGGATGGGTTGTCCTGGTTAGCATTGAAGAAATACCTAAGGATTTAATGGTTTACCTTTTAGATGTTGTGACTCTTAGGCTTCATTTGGGACGGCTTTCTTCCTGCTTCTTAAAGTGGCGTTCTAGTACAAAAAATTTAACTTTTGTGCTAGAAAGCTGCTTTAAGAAGCAGGAAGAAAGCCGCCCCAAATGAAGCCTTACACTAACACATTGTTGCTGTACGTTGTGGAACTTCGTTTCATTCATTATGTAATAAAAGTCTTAAGGGATTACTTTGGTAGTCTAGAAATCTGTTTGGCCTTTTGTTAAAGAGATTTTCATTGTTTATGTTAACAGGAAGGAGGATGGGGTGAAGGTGGTGGCAGTAGAGAACTTGAAGAATCCATATGAGCAGCAGAAGAACTTTAATGTTCGATTCAAACTAACACTAAATAAGCTTTATGCATGGAGCTTAGTGGATTATGACCGAGTTGTTATGTTGGATTCTGACAACCTATTCCTTCAAAAAACTGATGAACTCTTTCAATGTGGTCAGTTTTGTGCCGTTTTCATCAATCCATGTATCTTCCACACTGGTCTCTTTGTCCTCCAGGTAAGTCTTCCGTATGCGTTCTTTATTAAAACATAAGTGAGAAAAGTTTTAAGTGTTTTTTTTTTCTTTTATGCCAAGGGGGTCCACTTCTCATTAAGTTATATATTTGGATGTAACAAACACATTCTTGTAGAATGAAAAGGAATTGCTATGGCATGTTAAATTTGTTTGTTTAGTTAGAGAATTTTATGCATGTGGGCTGAACTGGCTTACCTTTTGGCTTGAACTACTTCCTTTTTCACCATGATCTTACTTTTTTCAAATGCTTACTTCATACTTCCTGCTGATTTAGTTTATCCTATGCTTTCATGCAAACGAGAATTGCACTCCTACCATATTATAATTTTTTCATAAGTAATTTTCTTATTTCTACCAGGGAAATTTGTATATCTACCCTTTGTATCAAAATTGTGAATTAATTTAATTGAATTCATCAACAATGTATTTTACATTGTTTGTGAAGGTTCATTATCATGCAAGTATGACTGCTAAGTTGGTCTTTTTTAGGTTTTATTTTGCTCAAGGCACTCCTTGAAAGTTTATATCTAAAAGATTTTCTTATCTTGAATTCCTGACTTGTTTAACTAAGAGTTCAAATAAATCTGAATGTTTGTGCAATGTTTATCTGTATTGCATGCTTATCTGGAATCAACGTTTGTTAAACGGGCAAGTCATGTTAGTAGAAGATCAAAGTTGTTCATGATACAAAAAGAATTTGTAACCATTATTTACTTTAGATGAAATATAACAATAGCATGATTTCTAGTGGTCAATACAAAGAAATATTCTTACAATGCCAGTAGAATTTATATTCCTATTTGACTTGGGGAATTAAGTGCTTCAGCTGTTTTAGAATTAATTTGCTTTGGACATGAAATTGTTCTTTGAACAGGAAGGTTTCATACAGTAACGATGCTTTTGAAATTTGAAGTATAAGAAAAGCATTATAGGTTCAGGAAAAAAGGTATACTTGATCTAGTCATTGAAAGGAAATACTTGTTGGTAATGCAGATTAAACAGTACCTATTTTGTAAATTGAAGATCAACTTAATTGGGGTGAGAAGAAATATGAGTAAATATTTTTGGCATGTAAATGATTTTGTCTAGATTAGGGAAGAAAAGCTTAGAGAATGGCCAATATCAATCGTTATTCTCAATATTGAACTTCTTCCTGCATGAACATATTTGGATTTTCACCTGATTTTGTGGATTGAATGCTTTAATTGTATAAGCGCAGCAATTTGGTGGAACCACATGAGAAAGGATGTTATATTATTCAATTCGGTAATGAAACAGTCCCTTGTTTAGGCTTGAACTTGATTTGGATGTTGGTCTTTCAAAATAAAAGTAAATCAGAACTTTCTTAGCAAAAGATTATTTAAGAGGAAAGGTGCAGGCTGGTTGAAATTGTTGTGGAATACTTGATGAGGTGCATCGATCAAAAGTTTTCACCTTTGTAAACTTTTTTGTTTTTTTAACTGCCTTATTCGGTCAAGGAATACATTTTTGCTCGATCCCTCAATAAAATTGAATGGCAGGACAGAAAAAAACAGTTTAGACAAAGAATGGTAAAACAGTGTCTGGTTGTTGTAGTTATTAACATTTACCCCATTAGAAAAAGAGGTTACCAGAGCCAATCTTACATTTATATGAAGTGATCTTCAAATTCTCATCACTAGCTAGAAATTTGAGTTGGGTTGATATATGGATCGAGAAACTCTGACCTAGTAGGTATTGTACTACTCGGCAAGCTCTCACAAGAAATTTTGTGCTATCAATGCACAGATGTACAAATCTAGGTGATTCTCTAAGGTTTCGGTTGGGACAGCTTTCTTATTGTTTCTTAAAGCAGCTTTCTATAGTACAAAAAAATTAATTTTTAACTAAAAAGTTGGTTTAAGAAGCAATAAAAAAGCCGACCCAAACGAAACCTAAGTTAATCATCTCACTGCAATTTCATCAATTTTTGCTCTCAATGAAATTTCTGATTTCCAGTTTCAACAATATGGATAACACTTCTTTTCTTTTATTGGAATGTCTTAAACAAGTGGTTGTCTTGGGGGGTACTCAGTTTGAGTGCTTATAAATCATTAATATAACTAGGTCTGCAATTTTCTGCTTGCAAACTTAGCTTGTACTTAAAAGGGTCAAGTAATGTTTCTATATTTCCACATGGTCAAGCTTATGGACCGTTAACTTGCATTATGCTTGTTTATAGGTTCTATGTTTTCCTTACAGTTTCCAAGTAAATTCAAATCTTTTGCTTAAGATATCAATTCTCTATACTTGATCTCTTATAATTTGTCATGATTCTAACTCTTTTTCTCATTTTGGAACTGCAGCCTTCTCGGGATGTTTTTAACGACATGCTACATGAGTTGGAAGTGGTGCGGAGCAATCCAGATGGTGCAGACCAGGGCTTCCTTGCTAGTTACTTCCCGGATCTTCTTGACAAGCCTATGTTCCATCCACCTGTCAATGGTACAAAGCTTGATGGAACCTATCGTCTTCCATTGGGATACCAGATGGATGCTTCCTATTACTGTAAGCATGGCTATCCCCCTACTCTTCCCTTAGTTTATTATTGTTCTGCAAAGCGTCAGACAAATATTTATTTCAAAGTTGACCTTAGAGCCTTGCTTGCCATCCTTATGAAATAGGAATGCTTAAAAACAGCAACAAATTTCAATCCTAAACTGATAAGAATAGAGGTATTCAGAGGACAAACTAAACTTTTGATGAATGCCAACCACATCTTGCTGGGTTTCTTTTCTTTTTGGTTTATTTTGTTTGAAGATTTTCTGATATGTAACGGTTGAATTCCTAAAGATGTGTTCACCAAAATGCAATTTAAGCAAGAGCTGAGTAATTATATGGATGAGTTGTTTCCTGTTGCAGATCTCAAGCTCCGTTGGAGTATTCCATGTGGACCGAACAGCGTGATAACATTTCCTAGCGCACCATGGCTCAAACCTTGGTATTGGTGGTCCTGGCCAGTCCTGCCATTGGGGCTTTCATGGCATGAGCAGCGGCGGGAAAACGTTGGGTATGATGATACTTTCTCCCTATAAATTAAGGCTTCGTTTGGGACGACTTTCTTATTGCTTATTGACAGCTTTTTAGTACAAAAATTAAACCTTTTGTATTAGAAAACTGCTTTACGAAGTAAAAAAAAAGCCGTCCAAAATGAAGCCTAAGAATACTAGTTATCTTTTCTGCTTCAAGGGCTAATACCTTATTATGATTCCCATTGTAAACAATCAGATATGGTGCAGAACTTCCTGTCATGCTTATCCAAGCTGCAGTATACCTTGGAATCATAGCCGTGACGCGGTTAGCCCGTCCGAATCTGTCGAAGCTATGCTACAACCGAAGGCCGGAGAAGAGTCTTCTCTTCCTCCACTCCATACTCAAGGTTGCAGTCGCATGGTCCTTAATAGCGACATACACCGTTCCATTCTTTCTCATTCCCAGAACTGTCCATCCTGTTCTTGGCTGGTCAGTTTACTTGCTTGGTGCAGCAGCTCTTGCTTCCATTGCAATCAACTCATTTCTTCTCTCACCGCTCTCAGTCTTAACACCTTGGTTTGGCATATTGGGTGCTCTTGGAGTGATGGCTTTTCCATGGTACTCTGATGGCGTTGTAAGGGCACTGGCTGTTTTTGCATATTCGTTTTGCTGCGCTCCTGTAGTGTGGATACAATTGGTGAGGATGATGGGAAGCTTACATATGCTGCTCGAGCGGGAGGCTTTCTTCCCCAGATTGGGTGAAACTACTCTGATGTCTGAATTCAACAAACTATACTGAGATGTTTATGTGGAAAAGAAGCGTTTCTTATCTTTACTCATTCTAAGGCATTTGGCTATGGGGACATTATGTTAGTGAAGGAATATTGTTACTGCTTCTGATAAGCTGTCAGCCACATTTTGTTTAGGCAAGTGACAGTGCCAAGGCTGTGAGGTTGAATGGGTAAATGTATTTTATTCATTTTGCTGCTTCCTACTTTTATTTAGAAAGGGCTTATCATTTGTAAAGTTTGTGTTGATTCGGAGCTGGAAGCATATGATGTAAAAGGTAGCATCTTGATTTGAAGCACCGTCGGTCTCTCAGTGCTACCTATAAATCAAATTCTGCTTGTGGGGAATCGACTTTGAAAAGGTTAGGATTAACTATCTATGTATTTATGAAACTTATTTCATCTTATATTTTGATTCACAAGTTTTGAAATTATGATTGTTTGGTTCGTTATTTTACTTGAAATATGCTTGGAAGTTATTTTCTTGTGTCTAAACTATTTAGTGGGGCTGTCAAAATTGAATCACAAGTCAGGTTCGGGTCGGGTCAATTCTAATCTGACCCATTTTTTTTGAAAACGGGTCAGTTTTTCAGACCCGAACTTGGCCCACTTCGGGTTCGGGTCACGACCCGCAAGTCTTAAACCTCATTCCCCGTAAGGTTGTAACTCACATGCTTATTGAACCAAATCCAATAACTTCAGCGGCCCGGTCCTCTGACAGTGGCAGCGGCCATCGGCCAGGCAACAACAGCGGTCAGTTGGCGACACGACAACAAGTAGACGGGCAGATGCAACAACAGGCATGAGGGGTAGGCGACACAACTTGATGGGCAGGTGACTCGGGCAGGGGCGGTCAGAGTAGGCAAACACGTTTTTCTGGGTTTCCGGGTCAACCTGAATTTGACCCAATTTTTTAAACTGGTCGGTTTGTTGAGTTCGAACCGGCCCGTTTCGGGTCCGGGTTGATCCAAACCCGAAATCTTTATGTCAGATTCAACTCAGATTTTCGTGTCATGTTAAATATTGACACCTTTCACCTTTACTATTTAGTGAAGTCCAACACGAATGAATTTACTTTATAGTAGTTTGATTAAGGTTCCAAAATATAAGATGAAATAAGTTTATTGTGCGTTTTCTAGTGAGCTTGCTGCATGTGATTGATTCCAAAACATCATTAACAAGTCTCCTCTTCTGAAATCTATTGCTGTCTTCTCCAATAATCTTTTATTTGTAAAATTTATTCTGCTCATTTCTCCCAAAAAAAAATATATTTATATTCTGATGACGTGTAGGCTGTAGCCTTTGTTCTAGTGTACCTCATGCGCACAATTAATATTCGAGTAAATGCTCCCAGTAAATTTGACGTTAAGTGGAGCTGCATTGATAGTGATTGCTGGTCATTGGGATGCATGTACATCTGCATGAAAGTGAATCGGGAGATATTAGTCGTCTTTATCAATGGTGTTATCTATAATTTAAATTTTTATAGTTAAAATTTATAATTATAATTTTGCCCCTTGAAAATTTTAGGTAAATCTTTCTTTTTGCAGTCAGACATGTACGCTTTTTTCTCCTCGTACTATATAATTCCCAACTTGATCCAAAAGCTGGAGTCTGAAGCTCTCTGCTGTAATTATAACCTCTTGATTTGGATCACAGTCTCTCCCGGGAGTCTCAAAGGAGAGATTATAACATCGGGAGTGTGGACCCAAAGAACCGTTTGATTTTGTGATTGTGAACATTAAAAAACAGCGGCGAATAATAATTGCACTTTTATTACACTTTTAATTTTCACAGTCACACAAATTAACGGTTCTCCGGATCTAGACTCCGCATGTAATAATCTCTTCTCCGATAGGGGCTGTTTGGTTTTTATGAGGAAGGAATTATTTAAAAGTTTTTTAATAACGGTAAAACAAACTTTAGATGATTATTAATATTATTTTTAGTAGTTTAAAGTAAAATTAATATCGTATAAATGATGGTGGTTGTTGATGGTGAAGGGCGGCCGTGAGTGATGATAGGTGGCTTGTGATTGTGGGAAAATTATTTGGTCCAAACACCGGATGCAGAGGTACGTTCGATGTTCAATAAAATATTGACATGTGGAATCTATACGTGTCTATGAAATTTTAATTCAAGCGCATTAAAAGCGCAAGTAAAGTATAATAAAAATCACAGTCAAAATGTAGTCCACGTGCAAATTTAATTGGATATTCGGACCTATTTTTAGGTCTGGTGTCC